CGAAGCTACGCGTTGTGGCCGGGCATCGATAAGCAGATCGCAGCCTGGGTAACCACGTGCCGAAAGTGCCAAGACGTTAGCAACGCCCCACCTAAAGCGACGCCAACCGAGTGGGAAACCCCTCGGGGTCCGTGGTCCCGCATCCACGTTGATTTTGCGGGACCCACCAAACGACACACGTTTTTATTAACAGTTGACGCCTATTCAAACTGGCTAGAAATCCAGAAGATGAAGACAACCACAATGGAGTCAGTTATTAACAAACTGAATAAATTATTCGCAATGCATGGGTTACCAGACGTTTTAGTTTCTGATAACGGGCCCCAGTTCACTGCCCTGGCATTTGAACAGTACCTAGTGGACCGGGGCATCCGCCATGCGCTAACCTCACCAGCGCACCCTGCGGCCAATGGAAGGGCGGAGCGAATGGTACAATTCGTCAAAAAAAAACCTACATAAAATGGACTATGGGGACATCGACGACAAGCTCAACTGAATACTCCTGCTTCAACACATCACCCCACACAGCATCACGAATAAGACGCCTGCCGAACTGCTAATGGGGCGAAGACTTCGCTCCCACCTCGACCGTCTACATCCTTCTTATTCACCAGAAAAACCTTTCGGATCTAGCGGGAAGTGCCGCGAATTCAAGGTAGGCGACTTTGTGTTTGCTAAAAACTTTTCTGGCGACCCATTATGGGTCCCTGCAACCATTACCCAACCCACCGGCCCCAGATCCTACCACCTACAGACTAATGACGGGAGAGCATGGAAACGCCATATAGATCAGGTTCGATCCAGATTGCCACCCACCTCCCGTGACTCCCCTAATTCGCAAACTGAGGGGGGAGGGGATTTCGAGGAGGCCGAAAACGAAATAGATGACGACGTAATCAAGGGGACCAGGCAACCCAACCAAAGAAACGCGCAACCTGAAGAAGAATCAGGAAGCGGGGTGTCATCACCGCGGGGAAATAGCACGAGGGAGGCAAGCCCACAGGACCCGGAAGTAAGCCTAGGAGACTGGGATAACAACAACGATAGCCGCGCCGAGTCCTCCCGCACAGAAACGGAACAAGCCGTACCAGAAAACCTTGAAAGCGCTCCACCGGAACCAGACTGCAGACAAAAACCGGTGGAGCAGCGAAAATCAAACAGGCAGGTAAAACGACCTGCATATCTACGTGAGTATGTTACCGCACCCCTCAAACGGAACCTAGGGGGGAGGGGTGTTATGAACTAATAAAAACTATTTAATAAAAACTTGTCAACCTTACGAAAAAAACAGGCTCGTAAGCCTGCACCTTTGATTGGCCCATGAATAGCGAACAGGGATTGGTCCTTACGGAGCAGCCTGATTGGCTATTAGTTAACATCTCTCATTGGGTACAATTTAAACGCGGGAATGCAATCCATTGGTTAACGGGTCAGCAGCCAGCTCTATAAAAGAGCTGCTGCTGCCCAGGGTTTTTGCTCTGTTCTTATTCATAAATAAAGAGTTGAAGTTCACTAGTTCTCTGCCTCGTCTCCGTTCCTTGCGCCCATGCTCAGTATTTAACACCTACTAATGGGATAGTTTCACTAATATTGTAAAATGTCTGTAAATAAAGGTAAGTTTGTGTATGTAGGATAAAAATATGCATGTAGACTTTTTGTAGCTGTGTGCATGAGTACCTGTTATCTCAGCTTTATGTAAAAACAGTTTAATAAATGAACAGCCTTCTTGGTGACCTCAGCAACTGGTTATCCCGTTTCTCTATAGACCCCAGGAATTATCATTCTATGGCATTACAGATTTGTGAAAAAAACACTTCTGGGAATTGTTTCCAAATTACAGGCCCAAATTTCTTTTGTAAAGCAGAAAGATGGAGAAAATGTGGTCATGAAGCTATTATAGAATTAATGGAGATTTATATTATAGATTTGCTCATCAAACTTTCCAATTTGAGTCAAAAACTATGTCTCAAATTTGAGGGGGGGGGGGGGGGAAAACACAATTGTTCTTTTGTTTTCTTGCTTTGCGATTGTTACCATTATATATTAAAATTTGGATGTTGGAATGCCAGACCTGTCAAATTTTCTTTTTCTCTGCCAAGAGATCTCTCTGCTTTCTTTTTATTTAAAAAAATGGCAGCTAAGAATGGAATAGAGAGAAATTAACAACCGTGTTCCTAACTTATCAGCTGCAACGATTCACTTAACAACTGTGGCAAGAAAGGTTAAAAATGGGGGAAAATTCATGTAACAACTGTCTTGCTTAGCAATAGAAATTTTGGGCTCAATTGTGGTTCTACATTGAGGTTAATAGAATAATCAGTTCTGTTAACCACCCCTGAAGTCCTCAGCTCTGACTTTAGGCTTACAATCTATAAGTAACCAGCCCAATTTTCTGGTGTTTTCCATGTGTCTGTCTCTGCTATCCCTACTTATTGTAGTTAATTGTAGTTAATGACTACATTGGGAGAAAAAGGAAAAATGAATATAGTCCCACAGCACTGATAAAAGCATTTAGCCCGAAAGCTAAAATTTTAACTGCAATGACAAGTCCCAAATCAATATCTTTCTGGTGACTGCCTTATGGAACATTTTTCTCTTTAAGCTCCGTTCAGAACAAAAAACCAGCAAGCAATCTATTTAATGATGGCAAAAAAGAAGGTCTGCAGAAGGTCTTTTGACAAGTTTCTCTTGCTCAGAAAATGGATCTGCTGTCTGCTTTTATGTGAGCATACAAAGGGGATTTCAACTTTCTTAACCAATAAGGTTAAGAAGGTCGCTTGCCTTTTATCTTTCTCAAGAAAATAAAGTTTCATGAACACATAGCTTTGAGTGCCCCACAATCCTCATATATTTAAGGAAAGATGTTAAATTACAACATTTTTAGCACGCCTGATGTTCCTCTGTAGTGATGCTCTTGTAAAGTTAAGCTGAAGATATCAAACGGCCCAAAGAGCAACAGTGAAATTGATGAGGGGCAGATTTAAATCTGGATTTTCTCCCTATTTGAGGGAGAACCAGTGTGCCTCCACTTTTACCTAAACCACAAAGTAGCATTAGTTCAAGATAAATATGTCTAGACAATCTTTTAATATCAGAGAAAGAGCATTAAGTAAGCTCTGCAACCAGGGGTGGGCTGCTGGGGGTTTGCAGGGGTTCGGGAGAGCCCCTAGCTAACATTCTGTGCAGTTCAGAGAACCCCCAAATCCCACTCCTGGCTGGCCCCACCAATCCCACCCCGCCCCTCCCAGAAGTCCCCACGTGGGCCGTTTTGGATGCAGGTAAGTGCAGGGTGCGTGCAGAGGCTTGGGGAGGGTGAAAAACGGGCCTCCTGGAAGTTTGGGAAGGCCTGAAATAGGCCCGTTTCCAGCTTCCAGAGAGCCTCCACAGCCCGGGAGGGCCGCTTTCACCCTCCCGGAGGCTCGAAGAAAGCCTCTGGAGCCAGGAGAGGGCAAAAACACCTCCCCCGCCATGGGGCAGGAGGCCGACTAGGCCACGCCCACCATGGCCACACCCACCCAGCAACTGGGCAGAGAACCCTTTGCTAAAATGTTTGAAGCCCACCCCATCTGCAACTATAAGCCTTTCCCTCTTTGGGGTCTTTCTTTGCCTTCTGTGCTGATTTGTGATCTGAAATCTGCGCTACCATGTAATTGTGCCATGGTCTCCAGTTCAAAGATATTGCTGGGATAATTCTCCTGCAGAATCAGGGCAGGAAAATCACAGAATTTTTTTTAGAATAGCTGAGGACCAAGCAACTGCTTCAACAGATATGTTCAATCTGTATGCTTTTCCTTTGAAGAAAAATTAATCTTTTCATTTGTAAATTGTTTCTTTGAGAATTTCCCCCTTTTTCCAATGTGTTCATTGCAAAAAGCAACTTCCATAAAAGAGGATGGCACATATACAATGACATCATGACCCAAATCTTGCCCTTACATAGTGTCCTTACAAGTACAGCATCGGCATCAAGACATCTTCACATAGTTTTCATCATCTATCCCCTTGACTCCTTCTCTGAAACAATTCTTTCAAAATAACATTAAGCGGACACACAAGCACACAGATACAGCGACACACAGCTCAGGGTTTTGATTTGAGGTCTGATCTCAAATGTAGCCCTGCAGCTTTTTTCCAAAAGAAAAGCGAACAGGTTTATGGGGTTGAAAATTAGAAAGGGTAGCTTACGGAGAGAAGGAAATTATAATGCAACATTAGAGAGAGAGAGAGAGAGAGAGAGAGAGAGAGAGAGAGAGAGAGAGATGCAACACAAAAATGTGTAAGGATAAAGATGGTAATCTTTCTTATTTCTATTTTCTTTTTTCACTATTTACTATTCTTCTTTATTATCTTTTTTTCCTCTTATGGTTTTTAACTTTGCTAAGCCTTTCTGTAAAAGAAAGAAAGAATGAAAGAAGGAAGGAAGGAAGGAACGAACACACTAAAATTAGGATTAATACAAGATAATAATTTGCTATCTAATTGCACACACTTTTCATTATTAATTAAGCCATACACATTATGTTTCCTCTGAAATATTGTTTCAGGACTGGCTGAGACCCAAATCTGGATTTTTCAGACTGTACAACAACAAGCTTTTCAAAGCTCTGAATGTAAAGGAAACACAAACAGCATAGCCTTCATGTACAAATACCTAAACTCAGCTTATATGGGATATACATTCTTTGATTAAACTGAAAACTTTACCTGAATCAGTAACGAAATTCCTTTCCCATATGTCTCTGGATATCTTTCTTGTCATCTTGTATATTTCACCCATAGTCCAGCAACTTTCTTAATAATCTAGCTTAATGTTCTCTCTCATAAATAGAAATGCTTCCTATCTTGCCTGTAATATATTTTGTCCTTAAGATTGCTCCAGTATGTAAATCAGGTCTGATCCTAGATCTCCTACAACCCATACTCTTATTTTCTGTGACTGAAACTGGCTTTAAAACAGTTTTGGTTACTATATGTGATCCTATGCCAATAGCTATAGATACCTTGAAATCGTAAGTTGCATCTGGGTTTTCATCGCAGGCGATGACCTCAGGTGCCATCCAGTATGGTGTTCCAATAAATGTATTTCTTCGTCCAACTGTTCTGTCTAGTTGAGCGCTGACTCCAAAATCCACTAGGAATTGAAAATAGGAGAATTTGAATGAAGTAAAAGTTAAAAAAAGTTGGTCTCACTAAAAGGACATAAAATAAATTTCACATCAGATGACCCCCCATGAACAAGGCAATTCATTTCAGAGTACTAGAAATTTCAGCTCCTCGCCCCACCTATAATTTTTCTCCTATATCAAATAGATTTGAGGGTTAAATCAAATAGGCCATTTTGTAGATCAAGAATTTTTATGGAATTCAACAGGTGAAGAAGTCTTTTAAAAAAAGATGTTGGACATCTGAAGAAAACATATGAGGCTTTGGAATTCTCATAAGAAACCTTGTGAAATGTTGTCATAAAATACACCTTTATTATTGTAAAAAAAACAAAACCCAGGAAACTGAGATCTCTTTTTCCAACTAAGTCAAACAAGAATAAGGTAATATCACAGCATTTCAACCTCTCAGGATACTATAGCAGATCTCCATGCGACTTTAGGAATGCGGGACTTTAATAGCACCATTGAAGAAGAAATTGTTGAATTCACATATCAAAAGGTTTTGTGCAACTTCACAAGTTTTTAAAAATATATTACAATTGTTAATTAATAAAGTATTTGTAATTTGTCTTATTTATAATCTTCATCTAGCTTCCGCTCCCTTGTCCTACTTTTCCCTACCTCACCCCAATTCAAATTCTACATCAATCTAGTCACTCTGCACATCTAATAAAGTGAACTACAGCTCATAAGCGCTTTGAACAAAATTTGTTAGTTGGAAAAGGTCTACCAGATTCCTGATCAAGCTTGTCTTGTGACAAGTCTACAAAAGGAAGCATCTTGATTATTGTAGATCATAAAAGAGAGCCACAGGCCAGAAAAGACTTCCAACACTTATGCTAGAAACTTGAAACTGAGTTATCTAAAATTTCATTCATATTTTTAGAAGATGCATTTTAGTATTTCCTTCCTTGCTGGTTATGAATCTATATCAAGACTGTATCAAATACCATTTTGTAATGATTCAATTATGAAAGTAATAAAAAGGCAAATAAAATCTCTGTTGTGTCCTATTACATGGCTCCAGATTTTTTTTTTTGATACTGTTTGAATTTTGGATTAGTACTGAGTCAGATCATATACCATTTCTGGCAAAATATAACAAAGTTGTTTTTTTTAAGTACCATAGACCTACGTGTTGAGCTACTTGAAGAAATGCATTGTAGCTCAGTTACAGTAGAATTGCACAAATAATACTGCTGATCTCTTCTGGTTATTTTTGAGACCAACTCTACTTTAAACATTCTGGCCACATCCTTTCAAGGACCAACTAATGTTTAATGTATAAATCCTTGAAATAGTGTCCTTTACCTATTCAATACCCATCCAAAATTAACATATTTTAAATAGCCTAGGAGTACTATAAAAATGCTCAAGAAAATTTGAAGTGACATTGAGAGCAAAAGTGACAGTTGGAAGGGATTATGGCATGCTGATTTTCCTAGCCAGAATCTCTTCATTTTTTTAAAAAAAAAAAACAGCATAATCTTCCAAAAATTTTAAGGGTTTTATTCTAAGAACATAACAACTTCAAAGAATGAAGGCCATATTATCTAGCATTCTTCACAGCCTTTTGGTTGCATGTGTCTTGTGTGTTCTAGGGTTCATCATGGCCATAAATCCTGAATTTTTTTCCTCCCAGGTTTCTTGAGTAAAGTAGGGTTGATACAAGCAGGAGTGTCAAAGTCAAGGCCCGTGGGCTAGATGAGGTACTTACATTTGGCCCATGGGCCCTCCCTGAAAAGAGTGAAGGATGGACTTGCGAAGCTTTTGCCAGCAAAAATGGAGCTCAGGAAAGTAGCATGCTACCCTCCCAAGCTCTGTTTTCGCTGGCAGAGGGTTGCAGGAGGCCCCAAAAGGTGACCCCAAACTAGTCACACCCATAGACCCCCCCCCAAGGTCAAACACAACCCTGATGCGTCCCTCAATGAAATTGAGTTTGCCACCCTGATATAAAGTCAATGTTCAGGTCTACTTCTTAGAAACTTAAGAGAAATTCTCAGCTTTGGTAGTCCTTAGAATAGAGGTCTCCAACCTTTCCAGCTTATTGCCCGCACCTGGTGTGTGGCACTGGCCCTCCACTTGCCCGAATGAAACTTTGCACATGAGTGGAGGGTGCTTGCACTTGCATGCAAAGCTCCACTCACATGAGTGGCAGGCACTTTTGCACTTGTGCGTGAAGCTCCACTCGCACAAGTGGAGGTCCTTGAGCGGAGGACTCGTGTGTTCATGCTTGTCGCCACTCGTGTGAGTGGAGCTTTACACATGCACACTTACCCATCTCTCTCAGGGACCGGTTTTGAACAGGCCGCAGCCTGGTAGTGGTCTGCAAGCCCAGGGGTTGGGGACCCCTGCCTTAGAAGGCAAGACCAATGAAGATTTCTCCATTAAGCCTCATTTCATTCTTCCTAGTATGTTCTTTAATTAAAAAGCCACAGTCCCCAAAACTTACCTAGTTTTACTTCTGCATTTTCAGTTAGCAAAACATTTTGGCCTTTAATATCTCGATGGATTACTTTGTGTTGATGGAGATGACTCAAGCCCTAGAGAAGTCAGTGAAAGACATAATACATATAAATATATTGTAAATAAAGATAATGTATTTATTTTGATTTTGAGAAAATAAAATTAAAGAAAATCCAGCATTGGTTAAGTAATAATATTTAAGATTATTGCACTGAGTTGTATATACTCTCTTTTATTTGCTTCTATTTTATGTTATACTATTGTTAAATGCAATAAGCATGGAATGGAAATTTACATGTTTACACACATGCATAATACAGGTGAGTAAAATTTATAAGTCAAAGTTTAATATCCTTTCCCTTAAAATAATTGTTCAGCCATCCTCTATACAATCTACTATGAGCTGCAGTGGCGCAGTGGTTAGAATGCAGTACTGCAGGCTACATCTGCCTCCAATTTGGCAGTTCGAATCTGACCAGGCTCAAGGTTGACTTAGCCTTCCATCCTTCCGAAGTCAGTAAAATGAGAACCCAAATTGTTGGGGACAATATGCTGACTCTGTAAAGCGCTTAGAGAAGGCTGTAAAAGCACTGTGAAGCATTATATAAGTCCAAGTGCTATTGCTATTGCTACCCAACATATAATGGGTAAGTGAGCACATTTATTGGGTTTCAAAAGCCACCTAATTTGGGGCAGACTGTTGGAAGCTGCTATCTGTCATCAGACCACTGTTTCACAACCTCAGTTGGCTGGGAATTCTGGGACTTGAAGTCCATGCAACTTAAAGTTGCTCAAGTTGAGAAACACTGCAACAGACAGGAAACCATATAGTTTGGAGCATAGCTCAAACTTAAGCAAAACATTTGAAATGTTTGATAATGGGTAGAGAGTTTAGCAGAAAATTGAGGCAACTGAAACTTTTTCACAGAAAATCGGCTAATCACTCAGTCGTCTTTTCTCTTACCTCTTCATAACATGGCATTGTTAAATAGACACTTGGTTTCAGTTATTAAATTCCTACTACAGGTACTCCTCGACTTACAACAGCTCATTTAGTGACCATTTGAAGTTACAATGGCCCTGAAAAAAAGTAACTTATGAACATTTTTCATACTTACGACTGTTGCAGAATCCCAATGGTCTTGTTATCAAAATTCTGACCCTTGGCAACTGACTCATATTTATGTCAATTGCACTGTGCCGGGGTCATGTGATCTCCCTCTGCGCCCTTCAGCAAAGTCAATGGGGAAGGGCAGATTCACTTAACAACCATGGTACTCACTTAACAACTGCAGTGATTCACTTAACAGCTTGTGGCAAGAAAGGTTGTAAAATGGGGAAAGGTTCACTTAGCAGCTGTCTCACTTCGCAATAGAAATGGTGGGCTCAATTGGTGGCCATAAGTCAAGGACTACCTGCATTCCTTTTCTCCAAACTGTATTTCTTTTAAAAATAATTAAATGTATCACAGGAATTCTATAACCATATTTTTTTCCGAAATACCTCTGCTTTTTTAAATCTTGGCATTACTGTATTCACTTTCAAGAGTATATTTTTACAGAAGGACTGTACAAGGTTCAACTCTGAAAAGCTTTTGTGCTTTTGTTTTAAAAGTCTTCTTACCCCTTAGTATTAAGGGTCAGAAAAAAGACAGTACACAAATTCAATCTGAAAATGAAAATACAATCTAAAAAGTTCCCAAAGTGATGTTGGCTATTTAGAATTGTAACAAAGTACTTGTTTTGTTTAGAGTAAACAATATGGCAGCAACACTTTAACAAATTGCTATGAAAAACAAGCAACAGTGTGATTCCTCAACAGTGGTACTTTTATTTCTGTCTCAAGAAGACATGGTTGCACAAGCTAGAACTTACATTTATAAACTGAAAAGTCAGTTTCTTAAAACAGGTGAGTAATGAATCAGGTTCAAATTATTGAATTGTTCCCTCATTGCCACAAATTTAAAAATGTCAAAAAAATCAGCCAAGGCTGTCAGCTCAGTCATCTGGCTGTCAACTCTTTCAGGTATACCTGACTAAGTTGTTCTCCACTTTTATTTGCTATCCAATTGCTTAAAGTATAGCTTGCTTTTTTTAAAAAAAAGTTATACACTCACAACATAGGCAGGTATTTATCGATTGAAAGAGAAACCAGGTATATTCAAAATATGAATCAAAGATGAGAAAGGATTTCTTTATTATTGTTCTTTATTATTGTTATATCATGCCCAACTCTTCTTGAGACGATGAACCATAACCATGCTAGGTCTACCTGTCTTCCACAGTCTGGAAAGGATTTCTACCTCTCAATTATTTAACACTGACTTTTATCCTTCCCCCTTCTCAAGTTATCATGCTGCAATAAAAAGACCTTAGAGCAACCTATAAAGAATCAATGTGGTTTAAAAGCTTTTTAAGATGTCAAGTTCCTGCATTCGACATCTTTACTTCCAGATAACTAAAGGTTGTTTGCAGGAGGCATTAACTAGTGGATCTCAGAATAGCTGTATCAGATTGAATTCAGCAGATCCTAAAAGGGTGAAGTTCACCCACTTCTGAAATAAAACTGTGCTGGCTTGATATTCACTTGGATCTATGGCCACTGAGAGGATTCCAGCAGAAAACCTAGCTATGGTGTGAACATTTTATGGATTTCCATAAAAGAAATAAAAAAAAAATAGTGTCAAAGAGATTGTAATATATAGCAAGTCTTCCGCTTCTTGTGGAACTTGCATATCATAGCTGACTTTGCTATAAAAAGTGAAATGATTTCCATATAGAACATAATAACATCCAGAAATGATCTGATTCTCACTCTTTAAGAATTTGTAGGAATTCTAAATGATAGTTAAAAAAAACCATTTCCCAATTTTCTTGTTCCATTTGAGTCCCTCTATGTGAAAAGATCTTTCTTCATTCCTGTTTTGAATGATTTTCCTCATTTCTATAAAGGGATCTGGAACTCTAATTTTAATACATCTGCTCCTATTAATACTAAAGAAGGAGTTTTCTTTCTAAAAGAAAATAGCAGATTTCAAAAACGAGCAAGGAAGAGAGCCAAATAACTTTCATTCATTCATTATAAATTGGATTTAAGTGACTATGAATCATTCATACAACTCTCTAATGATTAGCCACCAAGCATTTGGAACCATCTTCTATCTTGTGACTCTTTTCTCAGCAACCAAATTCAGAACAGAGATTAGGTCCAGGCATAACATTAGCTCTTAGCAAATTAATTTATAAGCTCAGGATCAAGCCTTAGAAATGGAAATTTCCCCTTTTCTCACCACCGTCTTCCATTCTAACCCTTACATTCTACTCCAAAGTTTTAATTACTATAGGTAGTTCTCAACTTACAACCACAACTGAGCCTGGAAATTTTGCTATAAGTTGTGGTCATAAGTCAAGTTGCCACATGAGTGACCTTATAGTTTATAATGAGTTTATAATGGTGGACAAGCAAATCGCATGGTTGTAAGTCAGAATCCAGCTGATCCAACAGGTATTTTTCTGTCATTTTGGGGCAAAAACATGGCAAAATGTAATCACATGACACTGCAACTAGTCATAAATGCAAGCTTGTTGCCAAGTGTCCAAAATGTGATAACGTAACCAGCCAGGTGATACAACAGTTGTAACTTTGAGAATGGGTCATCAGTAACTTTTTTCAATTCCATTGTAACTTTGAACAGTCATTAAGTGACCAGTCATAAGTTGAGGACTACCTGTAATTAGAAAGAGATATTGAAGCCTTAAAGAAACAAGTTACTCAGCCTTAAATAAATAAGTTACAATTTTTATACTACAACAGCATATAAAGAATATCTAAAAATGTTGAGAGACTACTGTAAATATAACCTCTCAATTCTATCTAGATATAAAAATAATCAATTTCTAACAAACAAATAATAAATTATAGACAATAGGAACAGGAGGCACGAGAGTCTCAGGAAAAGGGAGAACATTCCAATTTTCAACCTTTATTTTTTACTTATTTTGTCACTAACTCTCTCTGGTATCTACTGCCTGTTTCCATCAAAATTTATCCTCTTGTTGGCTAGAACCATGATTCTATACAAGAATTCATGGTATTATTAATCAGGTAGTGATTTTAGTAAAGAACTGAAATTGTCAATATAGGTGTGATAATGAACCATGGTTTAACTCAGCAAGCGAGAGGAATTCAATTCACCTGAAAAAAATAAAATAAAGGAAGCACACACACACACACACACACACACACACACACACACAGAGAGAGAGAGACAGACAGACAGACAGACAGACAGTCACAGACACACATATGTTGGCTTCCGATAAACTGGTTGGAAGGAACTAGCATTGTTTCTGTACGAGTTCGATGCAATGAAATCAGAGAGAGATGGTTAGCTCACTTTGGATACATACCCGTAAAATCTCCCTGCAGATATAGGCAATCCACTCCTCCTTCAAAGTGTTCCCTTTTGTGTTCTTGATCAGATCAGTAACAGATCCAGCACCACAGAACTCCATCACCAGCTGGCAAAAGAAACAAAAATGCAATTATTATAATTAATAAGAAAGTGTTTTCCAGGTTGCATTAAGCTAGTAGAATGCATTTAATTGACAGTGGTCTATAATGCTAAAAGGAAAAAAAAGTTAAATAATCTCTCCCCCTCACTCCATATCTATCTATCTATCTATCTATCTATCTATCTATCTATCTATCTATCTATCTATCTATCTATCTATCTATCTATCTATCCCTGCCTATCTATCCCTGCCTATCTCTATCTATCTATCTATCTATCTATCTATCTATCTATCTATCTATCT